AAAGAGTACCCATATAAATCTCATAGGAAAAAAACTGCTGAAAAAAAGAATCAAGATTCAAAAGTGTCCTTTGAAAAATCCCATGATCTATCAATACTCAGCAGATCTAAACCTCTTTCATCATAGATCGAGAAACAGAGAATGATTAAAGGTAGATATATGTACACAGAGGAAAGGGGATAGAACAAGAACCCACCTTTATAATGTGTGTGCAAGAACAGGGATAAGGGAAATATTCCGGCGAGAGCAGCGGCCGGCGAGTTTGCCGGGAGAGTAATGAGGGTGCGAATGGAGAAGAGAGGGAAAAAAGGGCTCATTGTGGTGGAGCTTTAATTTATAGACCCAAAGGTCCAAAGCCAACCAACCTGATAAAAGAAAATTGCGTGTGTGTGTGAGAGAGAAAGAGAGGAAGGAAATATTGAAACCGGCGTTTGGACCGTCAAAATCCACAGATACTTTTGAAGTAACGAGGACAATTATCCATATTTTATTATGGTTTTATTCATCTTATTATGCCTATTTTATTACAAAAACATCGCCGGTGTTTCCATGTTTAAATTTTTTTCTCTAATAACGGGTGAGGAGTTTATATTTTAAACTTTTTTTAAATTTTATCTAAAATATAACTTTTTATATTTTTCACATCTAATTTCATTATAAAACTAAAATAAATATAAATAATGAAAAACATATATTATTAAATATTTATCTTTACACAATATTTTTTATTTAAGGAATATTGTTAAACTTTACAGTTTTGATTTTCTTATTAAACCAATTATCCAATCTATGATTTTTAATGTGTAAAAAATAATGAAAAGAATCTAAACTTTAAAATAGAACTATTTTTTATTTTTTATTTTTACAAGTAAAAATAATCTACTTTTTTTAAGCATTTTCATATCTCAATTTCAATATATATTTCATACCAATTTATTTAATGGCCAACTATTAGTCAAATTACTTATCAAATTAGAAGAGAAATCCAAATATTATCCTATATCATATTTTTCTCTTTGTTATTAATTTATTTTATCAAACAATTAATAAAAAATCCTATTCCCATCATATGTTTAATAAATATAAAATCAAATTCAATCTAATTAAAGTAACAATTTAAAATTATTATAAAATAAAATTCATTATAATTAAATAATAAATTAGACAACATAACATTTGAAATTAGGTAGAAAATCTCAATTCACGTCATCCTATCGAAAATCTGTATACATATCGATTTTGTAGATTCTGAAGAACACCATTAGAAATTAAAAAATAAAGCACGATAACTAGCATGCATCGAAAAACACCACAAACCAAAACTGATTCATAACAAAAACATTAAATATTATATTTTCTAATTCCTCCAGCTCCCACCATCTGAACCGCCACCATCCTCGAATACCCGGAATAAATAAATAACATCATGTGAAAAAAAAAAAAAGTGAATAATAATTGTTAGATAAATGATTAATTAGTTAAAATATTATATTAGTTATATTTTAAAAAATCCAGTTAGATAAATGTTAATAAAACAATAATTTTTTATTTAAATGTTTGGATTTAAAAATATATTAACCAAATTTAAATTATATCACATAAGTAAAAAATAAATAATAAACTTTTATTAATATATTTAAAAATATAATTTTGAATTTTAAATAAAGTAAAAGGTGTGATAATTCAAATTTATTTTTAAAGTTTCTAAAATGTTTAATATTTTGGTAAGTATATCTGTAAGAATAATCGTACCATTTTACTTTAAAAAAATTAGGCAAGTTTGTTAATGAGATAAATTCGGTTAAATAAATAATTAATTAGATAAAATATTATATTAATTATATCTTACAAAATTTGATTGGATAATGTGTTATATTAATTAGTTTGGTAAGAATGTGATTATATGGAAGTTAAGATAAAATGGAATGTACCCAAAAAACTCCAATTGGAATATTTCCTTTAAATGTTTGAATTTAAATTTTTCCTAAAAATTTTCAAAAACACATTTAAGCGGGATTTTTGCAAAAATTAAAAAAAAAAATGCCAAGTTTAGTAATTTTAAAAATTTTAGGCAGAATTTTAGTTTATATTTCAAGTAAATCCCTATCCTTTTTTTATATTAATAGATACAATTACTATATTTACATTTTTGTCTCTAGTAATACAATTACTATATTTTTAAACGAAACAAGTCGCTCGTGAATCTAATATAAATTAGTTGAACTTGTAATCATTTTGTTAATGAGACAAAATGAACTATACACATTAGGCTCGTAAGTAGAGATTTTCATGTTATTTTCTAAACTCGTTAAGACTTAAATTTAACTCAATGACGATAAGCAATCCCGGACTCGTTTTAGGTTATCAGAACTGTCAAATGAAATGAGCCGTCCTTAAACTTTGTTTGGCTCAAGTTATTATGGACCGAGTTCGACTTAAGTCAATTAAACGACCCGAAATTAAGGGTGTGTTTGTAAAAGAATAAATTCACTTAACTTAACTCAAAATGAGTTTTTTTAGTTAACTAGGATTAATTTAGAAAAAATGGTATAGTTAGATGTTATGAGATTTTGAGTTTATATTAAAAAAATTAAAATTGATTTGATGTAAAAGTAGGAGAGATGTAATATGAAGTGATGGTTAGTTAAAATTATGTGAGTGAATGAATAGTGAATTAAAGTTGATATGATTTGTAAAAATAATTGGTTGTTATTAGTTAATTATATTGATAATATAGAGGATAGTGGGGTTGAGTTAAAGTTGAGTTAAATTTTGAGTATAAATTAATTTGGATTGAGTTTATTTTTTATCAATATAGCTTAAGTTAATTTAGCTAATTAGTTGAGTGAAATTGGCTCGATAAAGTTCTTTAGCCTCAAGAATAAGAATTTTCACATAATTATATGTTCTTTTTAGCTTAGCTCAATCATTTAAGGCTTAAATTCAACTTGATAAAATTGATAAAACACTCTTACTCAAGTTTGAATATAAAAAAGTCTGAGTTTATTTCAATCTATATATATAAAAAGAATTAACATTTTTTAAAAATAGCAGGTCAAATCTAGTCATCATTAATTTACCTATCATTCTTACTAACTTTTTTTTTTTTCAAAAAAATGGGTAGCATTAAATGCTACCCTTAAATTATGGCATTTGTTACCTGTAAATTTGATACTTTCTAAAAAATATGGTAAGTGCAAGATAGAACTGAGATCGTATTTGGCTTCTTCATTAATCCACTGACACTGCCATTAGATGGGCTCACCATTAAACACAGCAGAAATCTTAATAAAGTAAAAAACGAATCTTTATTTAGGGAGGAGTCAAGAGCTACTTATTTATATTAGAAAGAGGCTTAAGAAATTAGGTTGATTTTTATGTTGGAGAGCAATTAAGCGAATAGATGTCAAGAAAAGGTGGCTGCCATATGTATATTTTTTAAGAGCAGAATTAGTATAAGATGCTCTGCTTAAATCTTGAGGATGGTGATTTATGTTTTGAAGTGTGAATTGGTGTCATGGTGTGCATCGCACTGAGTTATGTACTAGTTAGTTTATATTAGGTTTAGCAAGGAAGTGTTACCGGTGACCGGGGTGACAGGTAAACCCAGCTCAGCAGACAATTATCTATATCTATAAGACGAAAAAGATTAGAAAAATATTACCGTGTACCGTGTACGGTCAGCAAAGTACAGTGAAAGCACAACTGGCAAAGAGCAAAACAACCAAAATTAACATAGCCCGAGGACTAAAACGACAACGTTTCTGCACCTTCCGATGTCTTCTGATCAGCATCTGCATGTCTGCTTAATGTCATGCCATGCCATGCCATTGGAAATTTAAAATTAAAATTTAATTTTCCTTAAAACTAATTTGTGATATATATTAAAAAATTGGAATATCTCTTATTTTTCCAGTGTGTGAATTTATTATGGGCTTGGAAAAAAAACTTATGTGGGCAAAAAAAGGATACCTTTTTCTTTAATAAACGAGAAATAAGCTGACACGTTTTTCATGTCTTATGTTAACAGAAATTCTATGGTTCTGCTTATGTTAAACAGTAAAATATATATAAAATTTATAATAAGTACAATAATTGCAGGGGATAAAGAGATTTGAACCAGAGAATTATATTTTCCTATCTGTTTTCGAATTACTTACGATTTATTTATTTATTTTTAACTCAAGAGTACGGACTATATAGAAATATAGAGATTGTTATAAATTCAAAAAACAATGTGAATGCTATGTCAAACTCACATTATTCATTTTGTTTAACATGAACTTCAATTTAAGAGCACTTGGAATTTGGAAATTTTTCTATAACATATGACCTGATTAATTTTTATCTTAGTAATTCTCACTGGATTGATTTGATTTGATATCGAATTGAAATGGAGATGGACACAAACCAATTATTGGATCTACAAAAAATTATGAGACGGACAATATAAATATACAAAATTAATTATATTTTCTTGTTAGAGATAAATCAATGTCATTTGAGCCACATGTAAATGTTCACATGTTCGCCTAATCTGACCACAATAATAATGGATGCCGGATATTTTGGTTGAAGTCCATTAACATGATGTTGATTATTCAATTTATTAATTGCCTATTCGGCAAGCTGTATAAGTATATGAGAAGTCTTTGTTTCCCAAAAGGAAGACTTTTGATTTAATTTGGGGTTTGAATTTGACATATATATTAATATATCCTAGCACAAACATTTGTTGTGTGACGTATAATATAAAATATTTGAAAATAATAAATTTCGTTTTCATAAGTTTCAATATCAAGAGACTGTGACATGAATACCTATAGAAATAAGCTTTCGTTATTTCCCCTACATAATATATATGAATATTTAATATTAGGTGAAATTTTGAAAAATTTGGCCACCCTTATTTTTTTTTAGACAATGCACATATGACAAGCATGTTTGACCATGGAAGATTGTAATTGCTATAAAATGGAGTTTATTTGATCAACTGATGAGAACAGTAGTAGATTCGATTATATTGGAGATTTTTCGACCCTTTTCTTTCTGGTGGATTACATTCACTACGTGCATACCCACATAAAAAGTTTTAATTATATACATGTAAATTGATTTGAGTGTTTGAGTATTTATTCTTTCTACGATTTGTTGATTTTTTAAGTTGAATGAAATTAAGATTGTTTTGTAGGTGTAGTACATCTCACAATTTTCATCATATTTAATCATGTAAAGTAAGAGATGTGTAAAAATACTTAAAATCATCCTTTATCTTTTATCATTAATGTGATGAAAATTGTGAGATAATTATGCAGCTGGATTTCTTTGACTTCCTTTGTTTGTTGATTTGGTTAGATAATAAATTAGATAGTTACAGGTTAAACAAAAACTGCAATATGCATAAATTATTGTCATAAGTATGTTCACTAATTACATTTAATTCCGACCCTATACTCTGACAAAATGTTTTTAATTTTATTATTTTTATAGCTTTAATAGTTAATCCTTCACGAGTTGTACTTTTTCATCACATCATCTACAAATACAATCAAAACACTGCAATAATTTTTAGTGGTCCAAAAAATCTATTTATCATTATTCATTAGTGGTCATCCCCATCCATCTCCAATAAGTGAAAAAAAGCAAAAAAAAAAAATATAATTTAGTTACAGGTCATTTTCCATTCTAAACCTGCCCTCATTTAATTTTTTTGGTATTATATAAGACAAATAAGAAGAATGCTTCAGTTCAAAGCATTATTTTATTTTAGATGAAAAACTTTAGTGGGACATTCACCATATAACTGTCTATTAATTAATTTAAGAGATAAGGTTGAAATAATGCTGAATATGTGGATACTTATATATTTCTGCACATGTTCATTGATAGTTTATCAAGGCCATTTGACTAAAACTTGCAACCCAAAACCAATAAAATAAAATTACAAATGGGTCTGATAATAATAGTATAATATAACCAATACAACTAGAAGGAGGGCAGAACAATAAGCTAGGAATATTGTTTTGTTTAAGCCAGACATGATGACATGGAGATCTTATCCATATGATTATGAAAGCAAGAGACCATGAAATATGAAGTTTTATGAGGCTTGGACTTCTTGTTAAAGAACCTTGAAAAGTGGTTATATTTTTCAATTAGCACATCCATTCTAGTCAATTTTCTAATCAAAGAAACATATATATAAAAAAAAAAAAAGAGAGATATTAATCACTCACCTAATATTTGTGTGTACATTAAGCTTGTTGCTCATTAAGCCATATTTTCCCTTTAAATATATATTTTACTTTACCAAATTATGTGTTGACAACTGGTGGTAATATTATGATTGTTGATTTTGTTGATGATATAATTTATTTTTTGAATAATCTGCTTTACCAAATTGTGCTAATATTATGATTGTTGTGTAGTTTTCTGAACTAATCTACTTTGCCAATCTTTGTGTTGAGACCTTACAATCATAACAATGTTATGATTGTTGATTTTGATGATGATGTAATGTATATAATAGAGAAGATTTGTTATATGTAATTTAGGTGATTATTTAATTATTTATGTAAATTAAAATGCTTGATACAAAATAAAAGATGAAGAAAAACTAACACATGCACACTTGACACACCAAAGAGATACTGATGTGATTAGAAAATGGAGCTCTCACTACTCCTGAGTCACATAATCTGTTGATCATCACCCGGTTTATGCTCAACAATTCTAACAAAATTTCGAGTAATAAAGCAAAAATTTATCAGGAAACTACAGATCGAACCTCAAAGAATTGCAGTATCGAAGCTTATAATCGAAAGTTCAAAACTGTAATTATCATATCCAAATGCTAGCAAAAGCTTCATCAAGCGCCCGTTTTTTGCTCATCTCCAAACTCCACCCACCCGCTCTGGCAGCCTTTTCAACCCGGAGTTTCATGGCCTCTTCATCTTCGTACTCAAGGCCCAATGCATCAAGTCCAGGCCCAAGAGGGACTGGCTGAGGGCCCACTGGACGGGGCTGTGTGATTCCGCCAGCAACTGCTGGCGCGTATTGGCCTTGAGCAACACTACTCGGCCCTGCTTGGGAGCTTGATGATGACTGCAATTATCAAGTTGGAAAACCGGTCACAAGAACATGGTCGAATCACAACGAGGTTTAAATTAATCACAAAATATACACGCTCGACTTTCAGGTTAATTACATAAACATCCAGCTATCTTTTTCAAATTACAAAAAGATCCCTTTTATGTGGCTCGATATACAAATTGCACAATCGTGAGGGGTGTCTATTAATAAATACTTCAATGGTTATTTGATCTAAACGACTAAACCAATGAGTTATTATTATTATTATCTATTGTAATTATTTAGATTGCGATTCCGAAATAATATTTCCCATGTTATTCGTAGCTACACCATCATATACGAATTTTCATACAAAATAAAGACCCAAAATCTTTAACAACGAGCTTTCACTAGTTATTTTCAACCAATTCCAAGAGCACAGGCCTTGTTACTTGTTTCCTTTTTAGTGCTGGTGCCTTTGCATATAACCATCTTCAAGCTGGGTTACGGAAATATTTTTTATTTTTTACATCAAGAATGAACACATAAGAGATGAGAAAGGGCAAAAGTACGGAAAAGAAAAAGAGAACCAACATTGCAACATTCACCAAAATATAGTAGTTGAAGCTAAACGAGTCAGGTAGCAAAAAACGATTGTTTTGAAAGCAGATAATCCACTGTAATGTACCCTTCCATCATATGAATATTTCAGTAATTAAAAATATAACTATATGCTCAATTAGAAATATTTAATACACACAAAGAATAAAAATAATAGCCATAAGATTGTACTTACGATATCAACACCCGTCTGCGGAAGTTGACCCTTGCTTGCTGCCAAAGCAGCTGCATATTCTTCAGCCTATTCAATCACAAATATAGCAGATTAAGTGCTTAAAACAAAAAACAAAAACAACTAATAACACTAAGAAGTAGACTCATAGGCAGAAAAAATAACGTGCGCAAATTTTTTATAAATTAAAGAAAGAAATCGAGGACCTTGCGGGCTTGAGCATTCATGATCTGTTCTGCATTTTCTCTCTGGTACTCGGCGATTCTTGCTTCAATAGCAGGAACATCTACTCCATCGACTAAATTAACTACTGCAAGCAAACACTTAATTTTCTTCAACTTAAAAGACGATGCAAGAGTGTACATTCATAACACAAGCACAAGCAGTATACTTACCCATGTCCTCAACTTCCTCCAAGTAGTCATTGTATTCCCTTAAAGACTGGAAATCTTCCTCTCTTTTGTTATAACTGCAAATTTCACGGTAAAGTTTTACGCAGCTTCAAGAAACTTGATAGTGCAAGGTAAGTTGAGCAAATAGACTATACAAGGCTCATTTGCACCAGAAGCAGATAACAGGAAGGCAGATAAGCCAGGGGAATGAAGCCCGATAAACCATTTTCAGGAAAAGTATTGAACAAAACTAGTTGCTACTAGCAAACCCTGAAAAGCTACCAACTTGGTCCTAATTGTTTCATTGCAGCTATTGCTAAGCTTCCAGATGACTAAAGGCTTTAGCTTGCTGCAAAAGCCTGTGATTTCAGGTGATGGTTAACAAGTTTAAGAGTTGATCTCAAGATAATTTTTCTGAAAATTCATGTTCATTTAGTCAGACTGATCTCTAATCGACACAAAATCAATAAAGTTCATTAATTAAACATCATTTTGAAAACGAAAACAAAAGGGGCCCTTGTATCAAACACCTTTGAAAATCATATCAGAATATTTTTTTTTCCAGTAATGCCCACACAAAAACCGAATTGAAAGAAAGAACAGTCACACAGTCCCACTAATCCAGGATGATATGTCCAGCTAATCGATCAACTATATGAACCCAGTAAATAACTTGCAAAATAATAGGGGAAAAGTATATATAAATGAACTAAAGCTGCACAAGCAAATAGGAACACAGTAAGAAGTGTACATACATGCCGGCAATTCGTTTTCTGATGGCCATTTCCTTGGCGAAGGCATTTGTTCCAGATGCCACCACCATCCCCGCAGCTCAATTTCAACTCGATCTACAGATTTTTCCTTACAGAAAAATGAAAATAATTTACGTAGTACAACAGATTCGTGGAACTGAAAGAGGAATTAAAACACCTCTCTCTCAGCCTTATGGGCTGAGAGGCGAGGGGGGAGGTCTTGTCAGATCCAGACTGAATTTCCTATTAGCGACTAAGAGAAAAAGGGCACACGGACCGTACTCGATTGATGAGCTCTCACAGGGGTCCTGCTCTTTCCACACCTCCGGATACTTTGCCTATTCACTCATCTCCTTTAGTCGCAAGGAGGCAAGACCAGAACCCAAAACAATGGAGCTGGATATAATAAATTCATTCAGGAAAGATGTTATGATTTGTTTTGAACCTAAATTTAAATTTTAAGCTATTTGATGGGCTTTTCAAAGAAAAACTGATTTTGGCTAAATTGTTAATTGTATTTCAATCAATAATATTAGATTTAATTAGTGAATTGCAATAGAGGTCTATAAACGAGTGTTTGTTAAATAGTAATTTTTATAACTATTATTTGTTAAGTAGAAGTTTGTATAACTATTTTTAAAAGTTTGCAGTTGTGTTTTTACATTTTAACCATCTCAACTCAATACTTGTTGGAGGAAAAA